AAAAAACCATTCGTCGTGTGGAATTGAACCAGCCACCTCTCGGTTCTGAGCACACTTCCAGACAACTTCGCCACGGAGCGCAAGTTGTCTGTCTGGAGGGCTAACGGCGAGCCATTTGTAAACACCATACACCGTTCGGCAGCCCTCAGAGCTTTGATACTTTAGCTCGTTTTCGTTATCAGTGGTGAGATGGCGCGACAGGCTCGCGTTGGGCGCGCTCTAAAGGTTGTCGCCTCCACAAAGCACCGCCTCTGCGGAGCGTGGTCTCTCCTGCGCACCTCTTATCAGACTTGTAATTCGGGAGAGGACGAAGCTCGCTTCATATGCTGCTGCGGCTGAGTTTACGAAAGGAGTGCACTGCAGACACACGACGCAGGAAGAATTGGGACAGTTGTTCGCACTTGTCCTTTGTGTACCTGTGCACTTGTTTCATGCGGCTTTTTTTCTGTTTGAACAGCACGCTTTAAGTGCCGAGCTGTGACAGTTGTAAGTCCGCGCTCATCCTGTGTATGCTAATCTCATGCATGCTTTATGCTTGAGGTGCGCACTGCAGGTTTCGAGCTGCTTGCTGTTCTTAACGTGACTTTGAAATTTCTTGCGGTTGCTGAAACAATGTACAATAAATGCACAACTACCTGTGTTATGAGAAGCTTCACTTTTGTGTTACCGATTTCTATATCGGCTACTTTTTTTTTACATTTTAACATAGTCTCCGGGATAGTATACAATCTGTTCATTGCATTTTATTCAGTTCATGAATGCTAAGTTACAAAAAATCAACAAACATTTTATTAGTGAACGTAAAGTAACCATATTTGCAGGACAAGTGCACAAGTAAGACCAAAAAATGTGACAAGTGACTGCAAAATTCTACTTGTGACTTGGTGAGAAAAAAAAAAAAAACAAGAAATTACCCAAGTCCACTTTTAGAATTGAAACTAGCAGCTTTGGCATCTTCCCTCTGTATCCTGTTCATTTGGTGCAGTAACCGTTGAAATTTTTTTAATGGTAAAACTGTTTTATTGTTGTTATTTTAAGCCAATACGTGTGCTTAAGTTTTGTCATTCTTAACTGGGCATGAAGATGTACTAGTGTTGAGTACAATGTTTATCAGGTTTACATGTATGGATGTACAACAGTCTCTTAATAAAATAATATATAGATACACTAATTGTACTTTTAGAAAAGGGTGCATGATTGTAAGAGCAGACTGAGCATTTTGTTTTGTTAGTGCCATGTGTGTTTCAGCTATGCATTGTGCAAGCTTTTGTTAAAAAGCACACTTCTTTGGAGCGTTTCGTGTTAATATTTGGTGTGTTGATGCATATGATGCTTATGCTTATACGTTTCTTCTTTTTCAATGTATTTTAGCTATCTTTAGCTTTCCTTTCTTTCATCTTAGCAAAACCTTAGGTAGCAACAACAACAAAAAAATTAGATGTCTAAGAGGGCATCTTTCTGTTGTTCTAGTTGGGCCCTGGTGTAATTTAATGCAATCCTCAAATGCATTCTCGTAGCTGTCGCCTCACCTGCACCTTTTTTTGCTAGCTTGACTGATGGGAGTCACACATTTGTTGCTGGTGGCAGTAAAGCAATGAGTAGGCAGGTCTGCTGAATTTCTCTAGCTTCGTGCCACAACAGCCTTTGTGCTACATCACCCCCCCCCCCCCCCCAAAAAAAAAAAAAAAGAAAGCGTGGTAACAGAGCAGATGAACAGCACAAGAAGGCTGACTATGAAAACATTATCTTGGTGCAAGGGATCTTAACTTGGGGCAGGTTTCTTCAAGGGATCTTACTTGGGGCAGGTTTCTTCTGGTATGTACGACAGTGTGATTCCTGGTAAGGCTGTGCAACAAGTATATTTCCAGCAGAGTTTTTTCGCTGCTGTGTACATTCCAGCATGCCACCTTTGGAATGTCTTTGCACAGTTCACTCAGCCACATGAAGTTCCTTATATCTCTGAGGTCAGGCTAAAGCCACTTATGCTACATCATTCCTCACTTCCGGGCAATAAGTAATTGCATTGTCTTTGTCAGTTTTGCGGTGGTCCTTTAGCAAAAGCCAGCTGGTCAAAATTAATATAGAATGTCTGAGCTCATCGATTCTCGTGATTAGATAGTGACGTTTATTTATAAAACTGCCTAATTTTGCTGCCTTCATTATCGTTCAAAAAGAGGCACATACATCTCTGTGTGTGCACGGAAGTAAACACGGCACAAATAAAGGGAGTATTTGTCTTGTCAGAATTAAGCACTGAAAAGCTGGTCACTGGCCTAATGCTTTTAGTAATGTTCAGCTGGCTTTTTATGTTTTATTTACCATTGGACATGCATTTGTTACAAACGCAAGTAAAAAAACGTAGACTGTGCTGGAGCAGCGATTTCAGTCAACGTGCATTTCTGAACTTCTGCCTCTGAATATCTGTCATATAGTCGAAAATTTATTGTCACTGGATTTCACTCGGCCTGTGGCGTTGGAGGTAATTCCAGCATTCACTTTCATTTTCAGTGTAACCTGTCGCAGTAATTTTAATGCCGTTGCTCTTCTCATTGAGCCTCAATGACCGCAGAGTGAGAAGCCACAGCACTGGAGATGTAGACACTGCTATGAGGGAAGTAGCTGTAACCTTTACAGCCTTTGCTAAATGTCAGACACGTTAATGTAAACAAAGTTTGTTGACAAAAGAGTATCCCACAGGTGCAGCATATTTGGCCGTGGCAGTTACATTCTATATGGGGAAAAAAAATTTCAGATAATCCTGTCCTGAAGTGCACACGTGAAGAGACTCGTTTCGGCTTTTGCATGCGTCTGTGTTTGTTTGTGCCTGACATTTTCCTGCAGGGGTCCTACCTTGCCAGATGTTTTTTTATGTATATTGTTACTGCTGGCATTTACTGCTTATTTTAGCTGGCTTTTGTCTATGCACTTTTATGTGAATCAATTTTTAAAGGGACACTAAAGTCAAATAACAATTTGCGTTGGAGTGAAAGCTCAATGTTCGGCAACATCTAAAACGACAATATTATCAACAACAGTTCCTTACACACAGAGAAATTAACTTAAATGCACAAGAACACATGCGCTGCTATTGGACATTTTCAAAATGATCGCTATGACATTAGACGGACCGCCTACAATTAATGACTAGTAATCGATCTAGCTGCACTAAATAAAGAACCTGCTGTGCATCAAGAGACGCAATAAAATGCTGCTTTTTCATTTCTGTTTGATTCATGAAAACAATAACCGCCGGACGTTAACTATAGGGAATGGCGCGAGTGGTTCAAAAATTCAATTTTCTCGTAGTTATACTGGATAGGTGGTGCCATCTAGCGGGGTGCAGTTGAACCAAAAAACGTCTGCAATTTTGGAGCCAGTGGTGAGAAATTCATCGATGGTCGTTGTTGCTGCTGTGGCTCCCGTTGCTTTCAGTTTGTTGCTACTAGCGCAGTAAAGCCAGGCAATGTATACGGCAACAGTGACGCGAGTCGGTCCGCTTTTTCAGGTGGGTAATTTGAAGTGCGCTAACCCGGTGTGGACCACTAAAACGTGATTTTATTTCAAAATAGGCCCTTCCTTGGCACAAAAGTAACACTACGAGGTTTCTGGACCGCTATTTCAACAATCAACGCCGACTTAAAAGGTGCCTTTAGTGTCCCTTTAAACGTTCCCTGCGCATGCCCCGACGTATTTCAGAATTGTCAGGTGTCTACGGGAATTTTTGCTGATGGAAATTTGAACGTTAAAGTGGAGCAGCATTTTGTGTCTACTAGGTTTCTTTATGAGACTTTTCCTCAGCTGCGCCTTTCACTGAAGGTCATGATGCCATTCAGCTGCCATGACTGTTCATTGGCTGTGGCACTTTGGTGAATGCAATGTGGTCAAGTTGTGAGCATTTCGTTGGGTCCTTCATCATCTGTTTATACATTGCCCTCATCAGACTGTGCGCCGTTCTTCGTCATTGATTATGTCAATGGTTCCTGATACTTCTTCCTCCTTTTCAGAGCTAGTAAAGGCCTGCCAAATTTCTACATCACAGCAGACAATAAAAAACAAATAATCGGCTGTGACATATGGTGCCAACTCCTTTGTAAGGTATGCCGTATGGAGGAGTAGCCATTGTTTGTAATACTTAGCAAAATTTTAGCTCATTAATGGAATTCCACAGACAGACTGCTTCCTAGTTGTTGATGTTAGGGTACCTGGGAAGAAAATTTATTTCTCTTGAAGGCATTTGTGTTATTAACATTTTTCCTTTTTCCAAACTCACTATATTTCAACACAACTTGGGAAGGCAGGGGATTAAGAAATAGTCCTGCCCTTGTTCTCGGTGACGAGCTGCTTCGCTCAATATGTCAGTCTAGAGTGTGTCCCGTTGTTATTGACCCTATTCGTCCGAGTCTGAGGAGGAAACGCTGTTTTCTTCCAAAGTTCTGCTGGACTACTTGCTTCTTAATTTTTCAATTGGTTTGTTTGTTACTCCACAATCCTAATAATGTTTTGCATAAGTTGGGCAACACATGTACACAGATGTATAGTTGGGTCGTCTTGCTGTGTCATTTTGTTCATGCTAATGGGAAGTATGGAATTCATAAATCGGGGCATGGATCCTAGCTCCAAACAGCATATCTAAGGGGATTAGTATGATCTATCATTGCGCCTTAGTCTTTTGCTGAGTGTGCTTTTCTGTAGGATGCTGCGTTGTGGGAGGAATTTATTTGGTCAAACCTCATCTAGAAGTGCTTGTTTGCTACGCACATGCATTCGCACACATTGAAGAGATTTAGGGGTCTGTCCTATGTTTATGAGCAGGAAGCCACTGATTTATTTCTTAGTGTTGGTGGCTGCAGTTCTATGAATTCAAGCTATGCAAATGTTTATTTACTCGAATGTCGGTGTACGTTGAAGAATGCCAAGTGGTTTAAGCAACTTTTTAGCCCTTGCCTGAGACATCTCTTGGTGCTGCAGTGTACCCAGTTTACAGTGCCTGTCTCTTGCAGTTGTGGGGCCATGTGGGTGGACCGGCGACGTGCACGCTGCCCGGGCAGCACTGTGACGCTGCTGCTCCAGCGTGAGCTCGGTTATAAACCGCGGCAGCCGACGCATGCATTGGCCTTCGACTGTGTAGGTGAGGACAGGGCGGCCCACTACGAGCTGGAGGAGACGGTGAGTGCATGTGTGAGTAGGACGGGAGAGTACGAAAGCAAACAGTGTGCTATCAGTGCTTCACCGTAGTATCCAGTTTTATACTGCTGTGTTCATCCAACAGTAGTATAGATTTGAATGCTCACTCGACTCGGTGTCGAGGCCAGTCTCATCAATATATACTGGTATGAAATCAACCGAGCAAATAAATTTGCTCCTAATTGTGCTTGTGCGAGTGTCGGCACATTTGTTGGCAAGGGATTTTTGTTAGCTAGGTATTTGTGTCTATAGATCTCACGCAGTTTTCATTGAGAAGTGGTCTCTTTCACCCTCTCCCCCATAGCTATACATAAATGTCGAACGATAGCATAATCTGTGCGAGCATGTAGTGCATATTTGCACTGTGTTTTGGCATATGTGTACCTCTCTCTCTCTCTTTGAGTGCATATGTTTGTATGCATTGACTTAATAGGACTGTGTCTTACATTTACTTTTGCAGGCATGTAATCTTCCGCAATCAGTTCGTTCAACGTTCCTAATGGCATTCAGTCCTGACTGGTGAGTTGCCTCTGTCCTCGTGCCTATTGAAATTTTGCTAGGCTTACCAATTCTGCATAGCAGGTTGTGCTTGACAGTGGTGATAGCGTGTATGTTCATCGGTGTGCGGCAATAACAAAAGAATATCAAGAAAAGAAGTGCGCTAGGGCTTCAAGCACATTAGTGCCTTCTTTTGTTACTGCTCATTTGGAAAGGCCCTCAAGTCTCATGGCACAGAAACTCTCTAGTATTTTTAAAATTACTAGAATTACCTGAGAAGTGTAATATTTAAAGAATTAGAAGCATTGTTTACAGCACTGAATGTGTAGTATTGCAGTTGTGAGCGCACAGCTTGCTCGACCTGTGTAGGCACCCCAGTTGCCACAATTTTAGTCTACTCGTGGGTGTTTCGCTCTGTACTGCATGGACTTGCACAAGAGCCCCTATCCTTTTTTTCTTATAAAATCTTTTGCTGAAATGCAACCTTCACAGAGCACCAAGCCATGTGCTATAGTTTTTCTAATTAACCGTAAAATCCTGTGCACGTGCCCCTTTTCCCTTCTTTGGTGATTTAAAATATATGCCAATGATTGAGCAAGCCCCTTATTCGTTCCTTTTTCAACCTGTTCTCCGCTATAGAATCCTACAGCAGTGGTTTTTAGGAAGCTAAGTTTTGAACTTCTTTAGATATGTGCACCATTTCTTTGTACATTTATAGTGTGGTACTTTGGGGTTGCATTGTTAGGTTTCACAAATGGTCGGGACATTTTAAGAACATTTTTTCCCTTTTATCATTATGCAAATGCTAGGATTCTCTCTCATTCAGTATAAAACAGTAAATGCAGGCACATTCAATAAAAAATTTCACAAGAAACGCTGGTGTGCATTGTTCCTTGAGGCTGCCCTGCTTCACCGCCATCTTGAATTTTATTCTGCCACCGAGCAACGTCACTTTCTTCAAATCTTGCCTGAGTATATTTCGCTGTAAGGGGGGGGGGGGGAGGCATATTTTGGGAATTTATTTCACGTATGAATATCGTCACGTGTTCGTGACGTTAGAGAAGGCAGCAGTCGGTGTGTTCAAGACGAAACATGTTATTTGGTGAAGTTGTGCCCAGGAAATGAATAAATCAAAGTACAAGCAATACATGCTCTGCGCTGATAGCAGCAGACACTGTCTTTGGTAGTCGGCAATCTGATCTTCGTAAAGGGACTGCCTACCGTCCTTCGTTTCTCTCGTGTTTTGTGTCGCAATAGAAAGCATACCACGTGAAGGGTTTAACCATGCAGCGGTTTCTCTGGAAAGTGCGTAGAAGTTTTTAAAACAGATTTTTTTTGGTCTGCGTTATGTCTCCTTCCATCGGTGGGATGAATGCCCACAGCACTGGTCGGTGCCCGTGAAAGTCGGAAACTGAAACCGCGTGTGGTTTTGTCAGCTTCACCAAGTTTGGTTATTAATAAAACAAATATCTTAGTGGTTGTTTTAGGCACATACACATTTTTGTTGTTCTCATAAGCGGCGGGCGGCGGCAGACGTCGTGGTCGTGTTTCTCCGCCGTTTGCTGGCAGGCATGCAGGCAAGCGACCGCACTGCTGGCAGCCACACCGGGCACCTATTTAAGCTCGTGAGGAAAAAAAAAAAAGGTTTTTGGCACAATCTAAAGCTGCTTCATGTGCACAAAATACAATTTCAAGTTAAACGTGTTCATTTTTAAGCAAAATAAGCTTACCTGCGAGGATTTCTTGTCGTACCAATAGATTGTCTAGATTGACCACATTCGCTGTTGGGTAACGCTAGTGGTCGCTTTTTATCGACCTTCAACATCAAGTAAAAATTACTATTCCTTGTTTCTGGCCCGAAAGCATGCTCGTTGCCGCTGATATGACGAACGATCTTTTCATTTGCACCACAATCAGAAAAAATTTTTCAAGCAGTAGACAGTCCTTTTAAGGTGCATAAACATTTCATGTGCATTGCGTCAAAGATTCCATTGTTTTATCAAGGTGGCCACATTAGTTTCCAAAATATACTCAGCTGTTCTTGTTGCACATTCAAGGTTATCGGAAGGTGTTAGACTAATGTGGAAGGTTTGTAGACACTGGATTGTAGTAGTTTGTACAAAGTAATGGTTATACATTTTATGGACTGTTTTCATAAATATAAAAAGAAGCACGCGTGGTAGCACGAAGCAGGCCATAACCTGCTTTGTTCCTTCATGGTCGTTGCCACCTCAAAACAAATGCTGTCCTTTTCAAAATGATTTTTGATTGATTTGCCCACGCTCAGCAGGGGGTGCGTTTGTTCGCTATCTTTTCTTTGACTGCTTATGCTCTGTTCTCTGGCATGCTCGTAGATTAAGTAATCTTCCGTGCTGCCAAGTGGTATAGGAGACCTCTATTACTTGAGGAGCTTCAATGACTACGTGCATTTAATCAGTTAGAATATACGTCGTGGCTTGGGGTACGTAGGTCGGAATGTTTGCTTCTCGTTTATTGTTGCTGGCTGTATAATTAATTTTCTCGGTTTCGCGCTGCCAAGCTGGGGTCACAGTCCTTATGCGAGTTTGTACATAAACTGTGCGACACCACATTCTGCTGCAGCACCAAGGTGGCCTCGACGCACGGCGACCACCGCATCCACGTGTGTGAGGTGGCGACGGGCAAGCTGGCACACACCCTGGAGGGCCACCCACGTACTCCCTGGTGCCTGGCCTTCCACCCAAGCTCTAACCACATCCTGGCCTCTGGCTGCCTGGCGGGACAGGTGCGCGTCTGGGACCTGCGGGTGAGTGGAAACTGCTCGCTTGACGCTTCTTTGGCCTGTGAATCTCGGGTCGGTGAATCTCTGGCCAGTGAATCTGGCCAGTGAATCTGGCCAGTGAATTTCAGCATGGACAGCCTGTTGCGGACTGCCCAGGAATGCATAGGCTTCCTGAAGCATGCGTAATCAGTTTGTGCTATTTAAGTATTCAACCGTAAATCAGATTTAGCTCATTTTGAGCTAAAAAGTTGGTTGTTTTACAATTATCCAGGTGGAAGTGAAAATTTCAATTGTGGAATTTCGTTCTAAAAGCAGAGTGCCTGTAGCATCTCATCAATATAGATTTCAGTATTGCTACAACAAAGTTTAGCGACTGAAAGTTTTTCGTGCATCCTCTCGTTGTCATTGTAGTGAGATTTGAATTTGCAACCGAACACTTGAGGCACACTCTTGACGTCGGTCTCATCGTCATGCTGTCTCACTGTCAACACCGCCTGCATTGCTCATTGCAATATTGTCAGAAAGTATCCAGGGATGCGCAGTGGATTTGACTCCAAAAACCAAGGAAGAGAAGATATGTGGTCAGTGTACCACTTAATCCAATGGTGTTGTCAGTACAATATAATGCCTTCAGCTGCCTAGTATGAACATTTTGCGTACACAGTGCTGTAAGTACACGAGCGTTCAGCCTGAGCTGCAACTCTGCATGTTTGCTGAAGTTAGTGGAGCATGCAGTCAACACAAGACAAGTATTATCTGATGTTTTGCTAGGTGTCAACCAGCACCGACACTTATCCATTGGTCTTGTCTCTAACACCATGAAGTTAAGAGATGCCTGTAATACTACCAGTGAGCCGGCAGCTGTAGTGAGCAGTGAGCTGGCAGCCGACGCTAACACCAGCAGCTGTCCACCGTCAAAGGTAACCGACAAAGCCTAGATGAAGGCAGGGTATCGTAGAGCGGCGACTTTTGCATTATTCTATGCCATTCTTATCATCCATCATTCGCAGCTAGCTGATTTTGGTAATAATGTAGACGAGCACTCACTCTGGTTAGTTACCACACTGGCCAAGCGCGAACATAATGATAAGCATTGGAATCGGAAAAGGCATCGTGCCGCGTTTGCACCCAGCAGCTGCGAGAAGGAAACCATGAACTGAGCGACTGAGCTTCAGCTTCGGATCGTCTGCAGCTCAAAAGCAAGTCAGTGGCAAAACAAAAGCAGGACAGTCTCATTGCCATCACTATCGAGCAATGGTGGTGCTCATGCTTGCTGAACAGCGGCGGTATAGCGGCGGTTTCTAGTTGTGCAAACACATGTTTTAGACTTCGTTGACGCATTTTCAGGCTCTGAAAATGGATAGAAATGTTAAAGATTGGGTTTACTGCATAGCAATAAGTATCTTAGCCTGGAATTGCATCGTGAAATTTCATTGAAGTGGGACGAACAAAGAAAAAGTGTTCGTTGTGGCGACAATATTTATGCATTGACTCCTATGGACTGCTGACAGGGAATTGTGAATTTTTCGTTGTAGTGGAAATTTCGTTCAAGTGGCGTTCGTTGCAGCGGAGTTTGACTGTACATGCTGTTGCTTCAATGTCATCCTAGCAAACACTCAGGCTTTTGCTTCTCTGGTCGTGAACCCAATCTCAAACCGCCTCCTCAACAGCAGGGTATCGTGCAGACTTCGGTTTGCAAAAAAAATGTGTGTCGCGGCGCACGCGAGGATCTTGGCCCTTTGTTTTCTCCATTACCTCATGCACTTTTCTGACACATTGTACTTCCGCCCTGCTTCGACGTTGTTTTCTGACTCTGCGTTGAGGATTGCTTGCCCCATGAAAGCAGGGCGGTTGCCGGTGTAGCAGTGGCATTTGCGTCTGTTGAGCAGCTTTGCAAATCGTGCACGCCACTGTTCGCAAGTGAGGCGAAAGGCAGGAATGATAAAGTCGTACAAGTGTCAGTGCAAGAAGATGTGCAGACGCTTGTGGGCGCATAGGTGGGGTGCATGTGTGACTGGTAATGTGGTTTAGTTCCTCATGAAGTCTTGCCAGCCCACGCGGCGCTGCCAGCTTGTCTGTGGAACGCCCATGGTGCTTCGCGGTCACGGGAAATCTCAATTATTGTATTGCCTAGTCTGCAAACGCTGTTAGGCCACGCTCTCCACTAAAGCTAAAAACTCATGTCGTGTCTTTGGTGAACGATAAACATCATGTTTTGGTTAGTCAGAGATGCATGTCGAGTTTTTTGCGACAGATAAACGTATGTCACATTGTTAGCAAGTGATAAACGCATGCCGTGTTTCCTTGCGGGCCAAATGCACCGTCATACCCATGTGCGGCGAGTGCCAGTGTTGTTGGCAATCTCGCCCTACAGACACGCCGATGCGGTGGTGCTACTATGGAATCTGTAATGCCATCGGCAACACATCATGAAAAAATGCTGCATCTCCGATGCGCCATTTCTGACACCTCCTCCTCTAGCCACTTTAGCTATACTGCAGTTTTGCGATTGTCCTGGTAGATCGTAAAAATGTCCGGCTTCGGAAGCGGCACACGTGCATTAAAAGATAGCAGTTCCCGCGACTCCGTTGCCTTTGTGACTGATGTTATCGATGAGTCGAATAGCAGTGAATCAGAAAACGGTGACACTTTTTTGGACTCCTCAGAAAAGTCGATTTTGTGATTCCAAGTCTACCGTATAAACCGAACTATAGGTCGAGTGGGAATATAGGTCGACCCCCCAAGTTCAAGTTACCGAAAAAGAAAAAAAAGGAAAACAACCCAAAACTGCCGAACCACATTTATTTGCGAATTGGCGCACCGCATCCCGATCGTCGAAGCTCCCCTCTACCACCATCGCAACTGCTCCTATTCGTCCGATGAAGCACCACTGTCTTCTGAAGACGAGAGTTTGTCGCTGGCCACCTCCCACAGTGCGTCGTCTTCAGTGCCATCCAGCTAGTTGCTGATGCAACATTTCTTGAAAGAATTTTCCACCATGTAATCCGGCGAGGAGCGCCAGGCGGAAAGCACCCAGCCACAAACAGTCGCAAGCGGAGGCCTCTTTCTGTAGGCGGCCCGTTGGTGTCTTGGGGTTGTCGCCGGGCATCCACTCTTGGTATTCCAGCCGCACTCGGTCCTTGAACGGCTTGTTTAGTACAACGTCGAGCGGCTGGAGGGTTGACGTCATGCCACCTGGTATCACTGCGAGGTCCGTTTTCCCGTCGCTGAGTGCGCGTTTCACTGCGTCGGTCAAGTGGCCACGAAACGCATCTAACACCAGCATGATGCGAAGACGCAGCAGTGCACCTGGCCACTGGTGGTGTTGCACACCACTCGTATCCATTCGAGCATCATGGCCTCGTCCATGTATCCCTTTTTGTTGACGCGAACGACAACACCGGGCGGGAACACTTCCTTCGGCATTGTCTTGCGTTTGAAAATGACGAGGGGCGAAAGCTTTCTACCATCTGCCGTGCATGCCAGCATGACGGTGAAGCGCGAGTGCTCGTTGCCAGTGGACAGCAGCTTCACATCCTTGGCGCCGCGCTGAGTGATCGTGGTCGACGAAGGCATGTCAAACCACACGGGGGTCTCATCGGCATTGCCAATCTGCCCCATCATGTAGTCGTTCTGCTCCCGAAGCCGGTTTACGAAGCGCTGAAAGTTTATGAGCTTGTCCTCGAACTCCTCCAGCAACTTTTGACAGATGGATGTGCGCCGCCGGAGAGAAAATTCTTTGCGTCGCATAAATCGACGCACACAAGAGTTCGGTGCACGAAACTCTTCTCTCGTGAGCCCAGCTTCCCGAGCGAGTTCCACGGCTTTCTTGCGAATGGTAGCCATGGTCACTGGCAGCGAGCACGCACGAACTTCCCGCACCAAGTCCGCTAGCTTATCCTCCAGCTGCGGATGAACGGCACTTCGTCCACGAAACGACATTTTTCGAGGATTGCACATCTGCAGCCTCCCTTTCTGCGCCCTCCAATAGCGCACGCTTTTTTCTGATACACCAAAGCGGCGCTGAGCAGCCATATTCCCGTTCGCTTCTGTGAACTCAACAACATCTAGTTTAAACACAGCTGAGTACTGCCTCCTCGCATCGCTAGACATATTCAGAGAACGAAAAAAAAAGCCACTAAAAATGCAGCGCAATGTCAAGCGGAGCGAAAACTCTGAACAGATCAGAAGCAAATCACGAACACAAAGAAAACAAACTGCGATTGGATTTGGATGCGGATATGGCCGCGTCTGGCTTCACAAGCACACGCAAGCCATATGTTGCGAGACAGCGTTGCACTTTCGGCTAGACACCGCTATATAAGACGAGGGGCGACTTTAGCTTATTATTTTATTGAAAAAATCTCGACTTATATTCTGGTTTATACGGTATTTTACAACTCTGTGTATATGCCGGCCTCCAAACTTTGGAAGGCCTTTTTATGAAAAAGCGTTGACTTACAATCGGCAATATATGGTAGTTACCAAAGGTGTTGTTTTTTCTTCTCATCAGAAGTTGTCGTGAGGGCTGCATTGTACCAGAATGTTGTACTCATCTATACTATGCAGTGTTGAACTCTGTCCAAGGGTATAGAGCCGAACATCGAGCTTAGCTGAACGAGCACTTCCAGTGCCTGCCAGAGGGCAGGCAGTGGATTTCTTTTCATTTACCTTATTTTTGAGCTTGCACCGTCCCCTTTGCCAAGGAGAACAAAACAGATGTATTGAAATGTACAGCAATGCAGACTGATTTGATTTTGTGATAAGTACTGCAACTAAGTGACAAGTGAAAAAAATGGCATAAAGGAAAAAGCTTGCACTGCACTTGCAGGGACGAAAGAAAAGACAAAGCCACTTATTGGACGCATACGATTCTTGGACACACACATTAAAACCTGCTTATAATTAAACTCCATATAACGAATTCCTCGATATTATGCAGTTTTTCTATCCCCTGCCGTTAATTCATCGAAGCACTAGTATTTGAGACCTCTATGTAACAAAGTAAAAGCAGGAGACATCCTTTATATAACGAATTTTTGCCACAAACAATTTAGAAATTTCACCCCAGATTTTGTCATTTTGGCGCAAGCATGCATCTACCGTAAACAAAGCGCAAAGTAACGGCCCGGACAACTCCCAGGCGAGAGCGAGCGGTCGCTTTTGCGCGCGGATCTCCGAAAGCCGGGCAGGTAGGCATGCACACTATGGGTACCGGTGTCACCGCGGATCTTGCCGCCACGGGCACATGTGTGAATGTTTCTTCCCCGTCTCCAAACCAAAAAAGAAAACTACTTTTGTGTTGGCAGTAACATTCTTCGATTAGCATCACCTATGTGGGGCCATGCCGCATGTGGAGAGCACTTTACCAAATAGTTTCCGCGATATCCGTGGTTCACTCTTTGTTTTCAATGCTGTGTGCATGTGCATGGTTTCACTGCGCTTGCATGGTGTAATCCCCGACGATGTTCAGATTTGCTTTTTTCTTTTTTTCTTTTAATAGGGATACAAACGTGTCGTTCCTATTGAGGCGATGTCAAATTAGGCGCTGATGGGAATTCTCCGAGACCACAGTGACAACAACGAATCTTTGGAGGTCGACTCATCATGGGCTTTGTCGTCTTGCATTGCGCCGCGAGTTTGTGGAAGCGTAGCCTTCGCGATTAGCTCTGTCAACACGACGGCGCGTCCAGTGCAAGTGCAATGAATGCGATAGCAACAAATTGTAATATGGTAATTGTAAGTTGTAATTCTTTAGAAAGCTTGTGATTTCCGTCTCGCATCTCCCTTTGAACACTTTTAAGTTCCGAAAAAGATTTGAAAGGCAGTGTCTACAATGTTGCTGAAAAAGTCCGTGTGATTCAAAAAGCAATATTGTCAGTTCCCGCTGTTCCAAGATGGCTGCAGTTAATTTGCTGATTGCAGTTAATTTGCTCCAGATGCAAGACGATAGCTTTGCATCTGGAGAGAGTGAACACAACGTTTATTTGATGTTCTGCGCAAGACAATTGGTGAATGGTATTCTGGAGGCGCTGCGTTAGAGTGGCTCGAGTGTGTAGCAGAGGTGAACAAGCGCATCGAGGCACGTTAGGCACAAGCGCCATCTGTCAGTTATCTTCGAAAACGAAGATGTACAGCCCGCGGAGAAAGATGCGTGCCAGTGTCGGAGTTGATAAGGTGTAGAACGTAAAGCGACGGGCAGGTGCCACCCCCGTTGGAAACACAAAGCGTTGGAAACACCTTTCTGAGCATCGCATTGCACTGTCAGTGCAGTGGGGTAAACACTACATTCCTTAGAGTTACTTGTGTGTGCCTCTTCTAGTATAAAGGCAGACATACAAAACATCGAAGCATTGTTGGGGCGCCTCAGATATGCGCGACAATTGCTTTTTAGTTGACAATCGCACAGCTATGAACGTTAAACCTTGAGCAATATTGGTGGGCGCTGCGGATGGGGTTAGCCGTTTGGTGCCGTTTGAGGTACCATCTAGGGCGGACAAACAGACAATTGTACAGACAGACACACAGACCAAAATTTCTTCGTCGAAGGTCCCCAAGAGGGTCTTGTGTGCCTAAACCTCACTATGATTAAGATGTATGTCATAATGTCTGCAATTTTCGACCATGTTAAGTTATATAACGTGTGCCAATATCGCACAGTATACATGGGCCTCTAGCATTTCACCTCCATTAAAGTGTGTCTGCCGCAGCCGGGATCCAACCGGAAACCTTTGGGTCAGCATCCGAGCACCACAAGCACTTCACCACCGAGGCAGACGTTCATAAATTTTAAGTTTGCAAATCGATAGGCTTAACATCTATCGTAAACAATATTGAAGAGAAACTGTGTTACCTTTCCTTCTTTACATGTTTGTGTATGTTGTATGCGCAGGGTGGCAGTGAAGTGTGGCATTCCCCGGAGGGCACGGTGATCTCCTCGCTGGCGTTTCACCCACTGGAGTCCTTGCTGGCCATTGCCACGGCCAATCGTGTGGTGCTCTGGGACTGGCGTAAGGGTCTGGCACTGGCTACTTGCAAGACCGCCTCCGAACGAGAGAAGGTAAGGCCTTCTTGGTTTCACAGGAAGCATTAGCGGCATCTACAGAGAGATGGTCCTTAGTAATGGTGCGTTGGAATGATAGCATATGGTCATAATTCTAGAGCACCTTTCTAGCTGGTTTATCTTTGTCAGACTCATTCATGGTGTTAACACATTTGCGGGGAACGCTATTAGGTGCTCACTATTTTAACATGCCGTCTGTTGTACCATGCAAACTTAAGAATGGGGCTGGTACGTATGCACTCAGACCTTGTTATAGCATAGTTGTATCTTACATGAAAATAAGTTTCTTATATCCAAAAATTTGTTAAAAGGTATATTCCTAACGCTATATTTGTTGCAAGACTTCATTTAGTTTGATAGAATGAAAATTTTCATTATAGCCGATATTTCATTATATCGAGGTTTGAGTGTAGTGTGTCAGCTATGATTGCATGAACAAAAGCATCAGTGTTTACCCTCGCTAGTTTTCACTGTTGTCAACTTGTTTGCCAGAAGGTTCTGGGTCATTCTAATTGAAGTTGGAGCACGATAGGAACCAAAGGAATGTGTTGAATGGGTTCATTTTCAAGTCCTGGCAGACATTTGAAAAGTGTGGAAGGAGGGTAGGAAGCATGGGGTGACGTGCGAACTTGCATATTTTGACCATGTTTCTCTGAAGCTCCCAAAGCACGCTGCTCTGCCGTTACTTGACATTTTGGGTACCGAAGTTCATATCCCCCACCACGGCACGAGAAAAATGTTTGGAACATTCGAATTTTGGCTCATCAAACAGGGAAATTCAGCCGAATAATTTCACAAACTAGTAAAAGATTATTGTTTTTATCACCGAGACTCTACCGTGGTTTTTCACAGTGGCCAAGAGTTGCTGAGGGAACTAGTGTTTTATAGACCCATGGTACTGACAAAGAAGGCACAATCCGTGAAGCACGTCGTAAAATCTGGGCACGTAGGAACACATTATGTCTCCAGTGCTATCACGAGCGAACTGTTCGACAGTTTCAACATCGTCATTAGACAAGGAAGTCTATGTTGTTTCATCTGAAATGCCACCTAGAAAGCTAGACAGGTGGCCCAACAAATGAGTGGAGTTTCTCGAGTGACTGATCTTGCTCGACAAGCTGGGATAGTTGGTACCGGCCTTACCTGAAACGCTGAGACCAATACAGTAGAGTCTCGATGATACGAATTCGGAAGGAGCGGGTAAAATATTCGTATCAGCCGGAATTCTAATGAACCAAAAACAACTTAAAGCTGATAAAAATGATGAACAAGAACTTCATAGGCAACTACACCTTGCTGAAAAAAGTCTGTGATGTTCTTTTGATTTTTCCTGTCTTCACCTTCTTTTAATTAAGTGCCGCGGTTTCCTCGCTCATGCTGCTGGCGCAGCGCGTTCACAGTTGACATCAAAGCAAGCGAAAGCGGCCTAACTCATTGGAGATTCACTCGCTTTCCCGCTTAAGCAGCTAGAAAGCCGCGCCGCGAAGTTGACACGAAAAAAAAAAAAAAAGTGTCCTGGAGAATTCGCATTGGAGAATTCAAGCGAAAATGCCAGCGCAGCCGGAAAACCACGTCCGTGCCCGCCGAAAACGTTCACATTCGTTCTGCACCTCGTATACATGCCACCCCCTCTGCCGCCATCACCGCTTGAGAATTTATTCCATTTTGCCCGTTTCCTGAGCACTGAAGGTCGTACAGAGTTAGAATTATGCATTCAAGGCACTAAAAAGAAACAGTTTACACCTTTACTAACGTTATTTGGGGAGACAGGCCAGCCGAAAGGACACGAGCGGACACAGTGGCGCCGACGGATTCAGCCGGCAGTGCAAAAGCAAGACACGTTCAGGCAAGCCGACTCGCTTCTGCACGGTCTTCTATTTTCGGTGTTGTCAGGGATAGTAATCCAAACCAGGCTCTCGACGATCGCGTTCTTGTCAAGGCCGTGAGCTTTGACGTGCCGCGCGGGTAGTTCATGATAGTGCCGACCCGTAAGCCTCTCGGCGTGTTCTTGCCGCGTTGTGCCACTGGCATGCAGCAGTGAATTGCACATTCGTATCATCCGCGGTGGCTGGGGTAACCATTTGTATAACACCGAATCAAGGTGTATTTTGTATAATGTAGTCAATCCAAAACAACCTTGAAATTCATATCATCGTGAAATTCTCATCAACCGTAATTGTATCATCGAGATTCTACCCTATGCTGAAGGAAGTTCCGAATCGTTTGGTGCAAAGCACATGCCACAGGCTGGCAACATCATTACGTCTTACATAAATCACTCTACTCGCAGTCGAGCAATGAAATGGATTGGGAGCTAGCAGACGTGTTGCCATATTGAAAGCTAGATAGCTGGCCCAACAAATGAGTGGAGTTTCTCGGGGGACTTACCGTATTTACACGACTTGTAAGACGACTCGAATGTAAGACGACCCCCCCAAAATCGCATCTCAAAAAAAAAAAAAAAAAAAAAAAACCTACGCGACCAACAACGGTCGATCGCGTAGGTGTCACGTAGGCCGCAAGCTTCGCCTCTAGTTCCGGAAAGCGGCCAGACTTCGGCCCGCGAAAGCCACGGCGCTCGGAGTCGCACGAGAAAATTTCCACTTCCGCACCACACATTCACCGATTCCGAACTTTCGTCCTCATGTCACGGCACTCATGTCAGACAGAAGTGACTCGAGAGAGCCGGTCGTGGACACAAGCGACAGGAGCACGCGGCGACGCGCCCGCTTAGAAAATTGTATCACAAAGAGGAGCTTTTCCGTCAACTACCAATACCCCCCTACGGCGGCTCTTCCATCGATTACCGGTGCTCCCTCAAGAGCCGTGCGCTCGTCATAAAGGCACTCCTAATGCGCGCAGTAGATGCTAAAAAAAGAAAAGCTTTTGTATAAGCACGCGGAAAACTATGCGCTTTGGGTTGAGTGGGAAACTATTCGAGATGACAATACATGGTTCGATTTCGATTCTAAGGTACTTGGTTCGATTTCGATTCTAAGACGACCCCCCAACATTGGATTGTCGAATTTAAAAAAAAGGGTCGTCTTACAATCGTGTAAATACGGTACCTTGCTCAGCAAGCGGGGAGAGTTGGTACCGGCCTCACCTGAAACGCTGAGACCAATATGCTGAAGGAAGTTTTGAATCGTTTGGTGCAAAGCACCTTCTAGGCTCGTTGGTGCCATCCTAAGAACAGCCATGCTCTGAAGGGGAAAAGCCTGCTGTTTTTTAGGAAGCTGGCAATAATCAAGAGAGTTGAATGTGGACAAAAGTAGTCTGATGATGCTCCAAAGGCCGACATTAGAGCCAAGCTGGCCTTAAGACCAGCTGTGTAGGGCACCTGAAAGGCACACACAGCCACATTTGAAAATTTTGAGGTGACCTTTAACAAAAGGTTTCTGGTAGGCTTGTGCAATAATTCTAATGCTTCCATGCTTGCTCGATCCACCCGAGATTTTTTTGTTTCTTGACTTCGTTCCGAAGCACTTGAATACTCTTATGCTCTTGACATCTACCACACAGGCTTCACCTCATACCACTTTGCCAACTATGTCTCCTGGACTAGAGCCACCGGGAAAATTGGGTTTGTCAAGTGTAGAATGAAAATCTTTCATGATCTCTTTAATTGTGGGGCAGGGAATTGAAATGTTTTGGGAACTATTATCTAGCAACTAGGCTTTTGCAAATAGTGAATTTGGTCAAAGAATTTCGAATTAAATTTGAATAGTATATATCGCATATTATTAAAGAAAATTGGTATATTTGTTGTGGCTCTACTAACTTGCACAATATATCTTAAAATTGAAACTAGGCCAGTGCAGATGCCATTCTTTCGTTGGGTGATCGTGCCCAACTGACTGATGAATGCCATCTAGAAATCTAGACAGCTGGCCCAACAAATGAGTGGAGTTTCTCGAGTGACTGATCTTGCTCGGCAAGCGGGGAGAGTTGGTACCGGCCTCACCTGAAACGCTGAGACCAATATGCTAAAGGAAGTTCTGAATCGTTTGGTGCACAGCACCTTCTAGGCTCCTTGGTGTCATCCTAAGAATGGTCATGCGCCACACTTGGTAAATTCCACGACTTGCCACCGGTCCTCTAAAAATGAGGAAGGCAACAGCTAAGCCAACAAATAGCCACTGATGTTAGTGGAGCAGAAATGTCCTTCCCTACATGTCCAGTTTTAGGCTTGGCACCACAACTTCTTCACCAAAGAAATTCCTCTCAATATTCTCCATGCGTCGCCCCTCCTCGGGTTTTACGTTAGTGGAGCTGCTTGCTTCGATCAACCCGAGATTTTTTTTCTTGACTTCGTTCTGGAGCATTTGAATCTGCTTATGCTCTATGTCTAACTATGTCTCTTGGCCACCGCGAAAATTCGGTTTGTCAAGTGTAGAATGAAAATCGTTCGTGATCTCTTTAATTGTGGGGCAGGGGATTGAAATGCTTTGAGACCTATTATCCTGCAACTAGGCTTGTGCAAATAGTGAATTTGGTCAAAAAATTTCAAATTAAATTTTAATAGTATATATTGCATAATGTTAAAAAACTGGGTATACTTGTCGTGGCTCTACTAACTTGCACAATATTTCTTAAAGTTGAAACTAGGCCAGTGCAGATACCAATCTTTTGGTTCAAAGCAAGAGGAAACAACTTAGATTTGCGGCAGCATTGGACTTTCGGCAGAATGTGGGTGGTAACTTCTAAATATGTTACATTTTCAAGTTTGCGATACTTGGAGCATATAAGTTGGAATTAGAAGCTTTTAACGTAAAAAATGATTAATAGGTCTGAGGGTAATACGTTCATCTAACCTGGAAGTGGGGCTTTTCGGCAGTGCGGATTTCTTAAAAAAAAAATGTTTTCATGCCTTAGCATTCTTTTACTGCAGTACAACCACTTTTAAAGGAAGTTACGTGTTAATTGATACAGTCGAACCCGGGTATATCGAACTCGCCAAAAAACGTTTAGTAGTTCGATATATGGCATAATTCGAT